AAAAAACCCCGGGGATTTTATGCGAGCAATATATATATATATATATATAAATATAAACTCCCCAAACAGGCGAAAACCTACCAGTTTCACCCACTGTCTCTGCCACCTCCCTCCATGCCTGGTTCCTCCAGTTTGTATCCCGGTAAATAGTTCTGGTCGTAAAGAACCGGGTGATTTGCTACCGTAATTTCTCGTTTGGAATATGAGGAAATGAACTGTGNGACAGTCATTATATAATGTGACATATTTCGCTTAATATTTGGAGTACAAAAACAATCCTGATATCATTAGAAACCTAGGAATATCCTCTTTCCAGCAGTGTATACAACTCAAAATGTGTCTTCGGGTCAATGCGACTGATTTCGATAGAGCAGGTCACATATTAGAAACATGTCAACATTCACCAAACAGTATCTTATCCCCAGATATGGAGCAGGTTAATTCTAAAACTGTCAATCATGATAAGATTTAAAAGTCTGAGGTTTGGGGCGGGCAGGTCTTCTTCGAGTCGTCTAAATCGAAAATCCACACAGCTCGCCTCGTTTTTTACACAATTTAACCTTCTAGTGTAACAAGAATCCCTGTATGGGGAACGCAGAAACCCTTCAGTAACAGCTGGTTCATAAGCAACAAGGTACCAACGATGTATCTCAGAAATGTAGCATCATTATTTTCGGGCACAGTCTAACACTGCGCGCACACCAGTGAACAATAAGATGTTTATCGTCCCTCTTAGCAGTCTAAATAAAAGAACTCTTTTATATTTACGTTGTGAGACTTCACATTGTGACAAACCGCCCGCCACCCTCGTGGAGTAAACAATAAACATCAGACTCGGANAAGCTGAGCTGGAAGCATCAGCCAATCAAATCCCGTTTATGCAAATCTGACAGTACAAGCGCTAACCAATCAAACCGCGTGCAAGCCGGGAGAGCCAGACCACAGTTCATTTCCTCATATTCCAAACGAGTCTGGCTCTCCCGGCTTGCACGCGGTTTGATTGGTTAGCGCTTGTACTGTCAGATTTGCATAAACGGGATTTGATTGGCTGATGCTTCCAGCTCAGCTTCAAAAGTTGAACATTGCTCAACTTTTGAATCCTGAAAATCCTGGAAATCTTCAAATCTTCGCTTCGCTTCCCCACAATGCAGTTCGGCGAAAAGCGAGGCAAAGTGACCTCACCCCCATTCAAAGTCAATGGGCAGAGAAACGTTGGAAGATTTTTTTAAAGCTGCTGTGTGGACGTACCGTTAGGGTTAGGGTTATTTTTTTTATGTTGGTAGCTTGTAAACTGAATAGGGTACTGATACTCAACTCAGACACAATGAGAAATATAAGTCAAATGGAGCTTGATATGCTATTTTCCTATTTACTCGTTACCAAAGATGTGCCTTTCATCCAGAAGGTTGGAACTTGAGCAGAAAAGTGACGAAAACTCACAGCTAACTACAATGCGGGCCGATGACATTGGGCACTATGAGTCACCAGTTGTTTCTGATCATTCTTCTTGACTTGCTTTGGTCATTTGGCTGCAACCACTGATGCTTTACTATGACCCATCATTTATTCCAATGAAAGGGTATGACCAAAATGTGTTTCAGAGTTCAGTCTTCTGGGTTTTGTAGGCCATTGAATATGGGCATTGACTTTCTTCCTCGTACAAATGGATGGCTTAACAATTATTTATTGATTCGATTCAAGTTTAACATTTTATTTAAACTTAATGTATTTAAGTCTGGTAATACCAGAAGCAATTTTGGGTTATTTGCAATGTCGGATCTCTTTGAGCCAGTGCTTGTCGCACAAGCCTCAATGCCGATAATTGGCCACTAAACCAAAGTTGCCAATCAATTTTGCAAGAACAATGTACCTCTCCTACAATGGGATTAGTACAATTGTCCATCTAAATTCCAATTAAACACAGAATGAAAAAATCTAAAGTGTATAGTGAGTAACTTTTCCACTATTCTAAAAAAATTCACACATACTGCCCACAGAGGCAACATTGAAAGTCCCTTTAAGATAGCAACAACTTCATTAATGGCATTTTGAGATTGAGAATTCAATGGTTTCTGTTCTGTATAAACATTTGAAGAACTTCCTGTAATGTAGTAATAGCATTATGAGCTACTGCAGTATTGCCCAAATGAGGCATTTAGTACATCAAGGGGAGGTGAGCAAGGACGTAAAAGATAATAATCTTGTTTAAGGCCCGATAACAAGGATGGTTGTTGATATATCAAAAAGAGAAAAAGAGAAGAACATTTTTTTTTTTTTTAGCATTTGATATCCTATTTATTTATCTTATTCTGATCCAACATAGAAAACAATCTTAGTTTTTGCTTTCAAGGTGACATCCGACATTGAGGCAGCAACTGCTGGATGAGGATGAATAAGAGCAAGATAATGTCAAACTGTTATGTGGAGCTGCTTGATAAAGAATCAACAAACAATCTAAGAGGAACTGTTGTGAGAATGTTTGTTTGTGTGTGTTTGTTAGGCTAAATGTATAACCTGGCCTTGTATTGTTGTGGAAAAGGCAGCTCTTAATGTGCTGCTTCGAAGAAAAAGCATGCTTACTTTTCTCCACAAAATCACCATCACCGAAACAAAAAGACGGACACATAAAGTGATGAAAAGTTAAGGGAGAATGTATGTCATTCTTCATAATTTATTTTGTTGCCTCAAGTATTTTCTTTTTACCTGTGTCGTATCGATCCAACCTTGCTCCACCTCTTTCACCCTCTTTCATCAGAGGTGTCTGTTTTCACTCAGAACACCCTTTAACTGTTAACCTTCACTCTCTAACTTCACATATCCATCATCACTCAGGGTATGTGTGAGCATATACAATATGAATGTACAGTATACTGTTCCAAAGGCGGCCGTGAAACAATGGACCACTTGGTGGCACTGTGGTATTTGGATTCAGACAATGAGCTATTTTATTTTTGTCTTTTTTTGTTGTGGTTTTAATGAAGGGGTACTAATTTAGTGGAAGGTGTGAGAGCCACGAGAAAAGCAAGGGGGAGAAGAAGACAGGAACATTGAGGAGGGGTGAGGAGGGATGGAAAAATACAAGAATGGGGGGCTCTGACATATCCAGAGACACACAAAGAGAGAAAGAATGGGGAGACTTCAGACATTTTACAACACAGCCCAAAACTAATTTCAATGTCTAAACCTTGCTGCCTATTTTACAGAACATGGGATACTGAAACCTGAGGTAATGTATAACATAACCATGACTACCCCGCTGCTTTCATTATGCCAAGACTCTAATAAGGGCATCAACTAAAGCCCGCTTTTATTGCAGCTATTCGTATGCCGTGCCCTGCAAGTAGCTGTAATTTCTTCTGTCTCAATTCCAAGGAGATTGAAAAAAGAGATAATAATCCTCCATTAATAGTTATCACGTTTATGATCATCAAGCAAGATTTCATGACAAAAAAAAGAGTTTAAATGAATCTTCTCCCTTTTTTTGGTCTGTATTCATCTGTGGAAAGTTGAGTGAAGATACACGCTCTTATTCAGTACACTACATCTTCAGAGTGTGCTATTCCTACTCATACCCATTGACATCAATCAGCACTTACTAGGGATGTGCATCTCCATCACTGAGGCCGATGTGATGTGCATCTCGATACGTTGCCAACGATATGATACATTAACGATACATTTGAAGCGCCAGGCAATGCGATGCACCCCTGTTTCGATACAGTTCTATACGATTTGATTCAACATTATGTGATTCGGGGCGATACAATGCGATTCAACACAATGCAAAATAAAGATACAATTCAATATGGTACGACAGAGGATTTTGTTTTAGTCCTATGCAGCAAATCATAAATTAACAAAAAAGTGCTTTACATATTTGGTTCCCTCTACTAGTCCTGCACATCCCATCATGCTGTTTCTTGTTTACCTTAAAAAAACAAACACCTGGACCTTTCACAAACAGGCCTTTTCACAAGTCCTTTGTAGTAGTGTTGTCTGTCTCCAGAGTACAGTATACTTGTATAACACCTCACAGTTAAACAATTTAAGGATTAATTGCCCATGATTAACAATGTGCAAATAACAACTACCATAGTGCAATGCCCATACAGGTGCCAGCCNCTCAGAGTCCACACACATCAGCCCTCTGTTTCCACCCCCAACGGGACAGGACATAGGGTTGGCAGGAGCACAGCGGAACCTCCAACGGCACGGACATAGGATTGGCAGGACCCCCGGCAGAAGAGTAGTTGGCGGGACCTCCAATGGCACAGGACATAGGGTTGGCAGGACCCCCGGCAGAGGAGTAGTCGGCGGGGCCTCCAACGGGACAGGACATGGAGTTGGCAGGACCCCCAGCGGAACCTCCAACGGACCAGGACATTGGGTAGGGACTTGAGACGTGACTCGAGAGGGGACTTGAGAGGAGACTCGAGAGGAGACTCGAGAGGGGAACCAAGGGGGAACTAGAGAGGGGACGAGAGAGAGAGAGAGAGAGAGAGAGAGAGAGAGAGAGAGAGAGAGAGAGGACTCGAGAGGGCTTGAGAGGGGACTAGAGGGGGGACTCGAGAGAGGGCTTGAGAGGGGACTAGAGGGGGGACTAGAGGAGGGACTATGGCAGCTGGGGCCAGAACTGGGTCTGGAACCATGGCTACTGGGGCCGGAACCATGGCCGCTGGGGCCGGAACCATGCCTGCTGGGGCCAGAACTGGGTCTAGAACCATGGCTGCTGGGACCAGAACCGGGGCCGGAACCGTGGCTGCTGGGGCCAGAACTGGGGCTGGAACCATGGCTGTTGGGGCCAGAACTGGGGCAGGGACCATGGCTGTGTGGGCCGGTTCTGGAGCCGGAACCATGGCCGCTGGGCACGGAACCGGAACACGGAACCATGGCTGTGTGGGATGGTACTGGAGCACAAAGTGCTGCTAGCCTGGACCAGCGACTCCTTCTCTTAGGAGCCTTTTGGAGGCTCCGTGGACCTCCAAAAGCCAGACAAGTACCAGAGAACGGCTCCTGGACAGGAGCAGGAACTGGGGAAGAAGCAGGGGTTGACTCCAGATGGAAGACACCGAGGCGTATGGCGTCAGGTTGGGAATTGGGAGGCAGGGAGCTAGCATGCCTGGGGCCAGCAGGCCGGGAAACAGGTTTGACCTCAAAGCTGCCAAAAAGTCCTCCACCCACTCGGGTAGCAACTCCCTCAACCAGGGCCTTGAGGTTACCGCCTGGCTTCCGTGACGCAGAAAAAACTGACTGCCTCTCTTCACTACTGGAGGCATATCTAAAGTCATTCCTCAAACATGTCAAAATGTACTCCACCTCGTACAAACTGTCCACTGGGTCCATTCTTGGTTGGTTCATTCTGTCAGGGTTGGGGAAAAATAGGACCCAAATGCAGAATGAGGAGGAAGCTGTTTTCAAAAGGAAACAAAAGGCGAACTTTATTCAACAAAAGCTGAACAAAAACAAGAATCCAAAAACAGGTACCAGGTAGCATCCAATACAAATGTGACAATGACCAACATGAAGGGGAACAGGAACAACAAAATAATGAACCAACACTGAACACAGGAAGAGACAAGACTAAATACAGAGAGGGGTAATCACAAGACGAGAAACAGCCGGGGAGGGGGGGAGAAACACAAGGGCGACAGGTGAACACAATCAGACAATTAGACGCACCAGCAGGGAAACTAAAGACAGGGGGAAAACAAAGGAAGAAGGACCAGACAATATACAAGGAGGAAAACACCCATAACCAGACATACAAAACTACAAACGTGACATAACATGAGAATCCTGACATATACGAAAAGTACAACAACTTAGAATCAGTGCTAATGCTAAGCTAAGGTACCCTTAGCATGGACGCTAGGTAGCCTAGCTTGCTAGCATCTACTTTTTGAAGATATTATACATTTGAAAGCAGAATAGGACCTTTAAATGCTGTCAATGTTGTATATGGACATACACTAAATCCCTTAACGGAGAAAAGACACCCAAGAAACATCTGGTAATAATGATTGGGGAATATAAGATTATGAAATGCTCCAGGCTGCTGCACACTCAAATTGACAGCATGTCTCATAGCAACTGCTGTCATGAAAAACGTTCATTTAGGCCTGAAGCTTAGACACAGTTTATACAGGTATGTCAAAAAACAGTTTAAACTCTGTTAAAATTGTGAGATATGGAGAAGGAATATAATAGTGTAGTTACTGTATATCTTAAAAAGTGAGGAGAATGTGTTGTAGCCTACTTGAAAGCAATTCAGTCTGTTCTCAATTATAAATCGCAAGAGGATAAAGATCATGGCCGTGATAATGACTGCATCATTAATGTAGCTCTAAGAAAACAATTAGGGTGCCATCAGGGATCATAACTGTCACAGAAAATTACACTTTTTATATTTACAACTCTAGAGTTTATAGCCTTGCAAATGAGTGATTAGTTGCAGTAGCTGAATAAAATGCCATATACTCATTTGAAATACATGTAGGTGTTGTGGATAGCACTGAAGCATGAGTCTTGAACAACATGGCCTATTTTCAGGCCTTGGATATATTATTATATGTAATTGATTTAGGAGGGATTGATCACAACCTTGAGAGTAATCATTGTATCCAGTTTGACTGTAGGAGAAAACTGTCGAAAGTATATTATACAATACAGCCTAGTTAGAAAGAAAACTATGCAAATAGCTTTTGAGTGTTGCCAGCTCCAAATTACTGGAGTGAAAAGTGCGGCTGCTGTTGTAAGGGTAAAAGTTTAGTGGGGGAGAAAAATAAAGGACTTAAATAACTTTAGGAAAAAAACTGTTTTACAATCATTAGCCCCACATTAACCGCTCAAGTATTCTATACCAAGTGTAATTAATCATCAGGCCTCTCATCCAAAGTCATTTGAAGTACTTAAAATGTAATTATTCAGCGATGAACATAACATTTCCAGAGACGGTGAGGAGATAAACCAAGGACACAACAAGGGTTTAGCCACCCCCGCCTCTAGAATATGCTGCTGTCAGATTCGGCGGGCTCATTTGTTTAATGTGATTTCATGAAAGTCATTGTTGCATTGAGAAAAGGCCATACATGACTGAGGGAAGGCGGAGAGGGTGCAGCAATGAGGGGAGAGGGGGAGGGTGCTTGTTAATGAAACTCAACCTTAATTGAATCGGATGGAACAAAACCTACTGCAATGCTTTGTAATCGTCTCCATGTCGCCTTCACTTCCCATTTAAATGATTGTAAATTTAGGGCGTTACATTGGCTTTCAGAATAATTAAGTGTTTAGGCGTGATGCAGGGTGGAATTGGAAGGATTTGAACTGAACACACTTTTTTGTGTCAAGTTTAAGACACAGATCAACACATCAACAGAACTGCTCGAGGAATGTTGGCTTCCTTATTTTAACCTCTTCAAAAGGTTTGAAACTATCAGAAAATAATACTCTGCTGCGAGTTCCAGGGACCCCCTGCCGACCATGAGATGCTGCTTTCAATATCATGAGTTTATTTCATTTGATATCTCCTCTGGCTGAAAATTATCTTTTACCAAACAAGACAAGAGTGAAAACTTTCAGAGGGGCACAGTGCGGATCAGTTTTCATTAGCTTCAGTTTATATTGGCTGCTGTTTGACGGTCAACATGGCGACCTTGACACCACGTAGTCCCCCACCAGTAGACTGCCGTGAGGGCTGGTTGGCTGGGTTAGGTGTGGTGTAGTTCAACACTGGTTGCTGCTATCTAAGTGGAACAAATTTGCCAATTAAGCAAATCAGTTTCCTGTTCTCCCCAGGCGTTGGCTTATCAGGCTCATATGAGCCTGTCCTGTCCCTGCCTTCACATCAGCATGTGCATCTCTCTATCGCTTTACCCCGAAGGGGAGATTCTAGGACCAACTCAGAATGCAAATCGCTCTCTGGGTTTATACACTTCCTAGAGCGAACTGAGTAAAAAAAAGAGCGGGGGGGACAGTGTGTGAGAGATAAATCAAAGCGAAAACATGAGACTGAAAAAACATCCTAAGTACAAGAAGATTATTTTAATTTACTTAAGCGTAAGAATTCCCTGAGATAAGGGGCCCCGAAAAATGAACACTCGCAACCAAAGAGACTTCACATGTATTGTACTGCTGCGATCACAGAGAGAACAGAGGGACAATTAGTTTGCCAGTCACACTGAAGAACAAGAAATTTCTTTTTTCTTGGTTTTACTTATTTTTCTTTGTACACATTTTTACAGTTTCACGAACAGTGGTGGAATGTAACTAAATACATGAACTCAATTACCATACTGAAGTATGACTTTGAAGTACTAGCACTTGAGTATTTTCATTGTATGCTGGCATATACTTCTACTCCACCACAATTATAGCTTAAGATACCAATTTACTTTGAGGATTCAGATTATTTAAATAAAAAACAACCAAGAAATGGTGATTTATTGTTGTGGATTAAACTACTGTCGAGACCCAACATTGAACCTTATAATCTTATCTGGTGATAAAAAATAAAAATTATTCGGAAATGTGCCGCTTTCATAATGAGTACTTTTACTTCTGATGCGTTGAGTATATCTTCATGCTAAAGCAACGTGTATGTCCTTTAACTTAAAGTAGGACTCTGAAACTATTACTTTTATTTGCAACAGATTATTTGTACACTGTAAACTACTTTAACTTTAGTGAAAGATCTAAAAGAGTTATTTGTTCACCACTTTTCCCAATGTGGGTGCTGGTAACAATTGTATGGACGTCCTAAATGTGAAAAAATATGATATACCTCTTATTCATTTTAAATCAAAATAGTATTTTGCCGGAAACATAATATTATTTGGTGGTCGTGGAAAACACATGCCCTCATCCTTATATGAATACAGCTAACAGGGACGGAGGGTGTCACAAACACGTTGCATCTTAAACACTTCCACAGTCTTTCAGAGGGCAGTGATTGGTCCTCAGTGAAGGGCAGAGCCGTGCCGCAGTAATCGATAGAAACACAGCTCACTTGCTATCAATACCAACTCAAAAGGATTGATTAGAAACTTGTTGTCTTTTTGAGTGTGCTTGCAAGGTTGCGTTGAACATAAAATGCTCTTAAACAGTGCATGTTTGTGCAACTGATCATACTTTGGTGACACAAAAATCCTCCTATAGTCTGTTTTGTAAACACTTCAGTTTGTAATTGAATTAAGTAGATCTGTAAAACTGCCCATTTGTTATTATTCCTTTTAACACTGAATAAATAATCATTCTTGTTCAATTAAAATTAGGAGTGATTTTTTTGTTGTTACTTTATTTTACATGAACCGCATTCAGGAGGGTTGTATGTGATTTATATTATTACATTCACATTTATAAAAATATTTTATTTGAAATTAGGGTGAATTGTAGCCAATCATTATTATACTGCATGGCTCACTGTTTATTGTGTTGATATTACAGGTATACTGCTTTGTAATGATCCAATCACAATCAAGCCGGTAAATATAATGTTTGAACTTGCTATTGTAAATGTATTATCTCAAAATGAGTCGTGTTGGCTGTTATCATTATTTCAGTTTTCATATTTATTTTCTGTCAAAGCACCTTGTTGGCATCAAATGAAACATAAAATTGAAGAAACATACTCTATATATATGCAGAACGGTACATTTAAAAATGTATAAATGTTGCACCCAATAAAGGTAGGGCTAGTTTAAACTACTTAAAGGCTTTATCCATGATATTACTTCATTTCAGTCAATTATATTTTTGCATTAAAGATCTAGCCACTAAAGCTGTTAAATACTTGTGGTGGCATACACAGTACAGTCTAATCTTCTGAAATATAGCACAGTAGAAGTATAACATTACATATAACGTAACTACCCAAGTAAAGTACCTACACATTTGACTTTAATACAGATATTCGAACTTCATCTCTCACAGAGTTTTTCTCATATAATTGATGTAACTCTACCTGTATGGGACGGATGACCCTTCACCAACAATATCATATAATGCTATTCAATCCCCATGCAATAAAACTACCATAATGAAGTTTAGAATGATTTAAACGTTTTTTTTTCAGATAACTTCTGGTTCAACTCAAGGGTAATAAAGGATTGCATAAATTGGACTTTATTGTATTGCATTATCATAATGTATCCCTCTTTTGTTCACCACCTTTAGCCTGCATACATACGGGTCTATTTGTAACACAAATGAATGCACAGCAATTCTACTTTAACTGTATTGTCCCCAAGGAGAGATGCCTCTTGCAACCAGGTTAAACAAAGAAAACAGAGACATGTAGGCACACAGACTCAGGTACTAAAGACACACATTTATTTGTGGCACATTGTTAATGAGTAAAAAAAAAAAGCCCTTCTCTGCAGTGCTTTATTAACTGATTAATGATGCAACATAGTCAGCAGCTGCACACTTATCCACCTCATTATGTTGACTTGCTAGCTTGTGATAGAAATGAGATTTCTCATTGAATATAAATGTTTGTAGTGTAATAAACTGTCTCTGAATTCTCCCTGTAGGCAACGCATTTAGTTGTAGTCAGTGTTTCCTGAGGTGACACATTATCCACTTAAAATATATTGAATTTACACAATGTAATGGTTGTGTACTGGCCGCTTGATCCAAAATACAAAGCTCCAAGGCCACTTAGCCTTCAAGGCAATTTTGAGTGTTGACTCGCATTTAAAACATCCAAATACCTTCAATGAATGCCACGGTCACAGGTATGAGGGTTTTATTCACTAAATAGTCCATAGATCTGTAAGCGTCCAATACCGGCTTATAACACTTTCAACTGCATACAGTATAGATCATTAAACACAAGTACAAACACCATCAGGCGTGCGGTCCAGACATGTGCAGTCAAAAACATTTTCAACTACCTTGTAGACTTCCCCTTCGTCAGACTGGTGAAGTCATTTTATACTCATAGTCTTGAGCACTAGATTCTGTTTTCCGCATGGAACTCGGCCGAAACAATAACAAACATAAACCTTGCGCAGCCCATGAACAAACAATATACAGAAACGGTGTAATTATAACTCGTGATTATCCAATTAATTTCAGTTGAATTAAAAGAATATGCAACTGTCTCTCCGAACATAAATATTAACCAGAAATAATAATACACCTAAATGGCTCTTACAAGTACAATTTTGCAACTTCTTTATTATGTGCCCCAGCTGAATACACATTGAGAAAACTAAGGGTTGGGGGTTCATTTTTCTCGTCAGTGAATTCCCCGCTTTACATTTCTCTAACACAGTTGTTTAATTTCACCTGCTGCCTGCAGAACAAAAAGTTTTAGTTGAAGTAATTGAAGTAATTTCCAAGTCATTTGAACATCATTTACTGAGTAGAGATAGCAAGTTGTGCTTGAATTGATAGTTCTTGTAGTTGTACAACTGACCTTACTTACAACACTGAACTTGTATAATTCTAAAAGTTTCTCTTATCTAGTAGTTGGTGACCAATAGCTGTATCCCCATTTAATGAATGTGACCTTTTCTTACAGCATTGCAACACATTCATGTTGCTTTAATTTAAAATAGTGAAGAAAGGGTGAAGACATCAAAGTAAGGCAATGTAAGCCTGGAGCTGCAGAGCCTTACTTTGGGGTCAAACCTGTTTTCAAACAGCCTTACCATTGTCTCTCTGTGACATCAGGGATGCCTTTTTAGGGAGAATCTGTTTGAATACTGCAGACAATACACAGACTGTGAATAATGTGACCCTGGTAAAAACAACAGCGCTCACCTCTGTCGGACTTTCATAAAAGAGGCTGCGGCATTATTTTTAGAGAAGAAGATAAAGCACAAACCTCCAACATGTCAAGGTTAACTCCCTACCCTCCAGACACTAAACAGGGCAGCAGGGAATTAGATGAGAAAAACTTTGTACTTTCATTTACAGATTTACAGAATATTACTAGATGGATAGATAGATAGATAGATAGATAGATAGATAGATAGATAGATAGATAGATAGATAGATAGATAGATAGATAGATAGATAGATAGATAGATAGATAGATAGATAGATAGATAGATAGATAGATACATAGATCGATAGATAGATGGATAGATAGATAGATAGATAGATAGATACATAGATCGATAGATAGATGGATAAATAGATAGATAGCGCAGGTTCTGGTCCAGGCTCTCGTCATCTCACGCCTAGACTACTGCAACTTCCAGAATGCAGCGGCTCGTCTGGTCTTCAACCTTCCTAAATGTTCCCACACCACGCCACTCCTCCGCTCCCTTCACTGGCTTCCGGTAACTGCTAGAATCCACTTCAAGACACTGGTACTTGCGTACCATGCTGCGAATGGATCTGGCCCTTCCTACATCCAGGACATGGTTAAACTGTACACCCCAGCACGTGCACTCCGCTCTGCATCAGCCAAACAGCTCGCTGCACCCGCACTGCGAGGGGGACCCAAGTTCCCATCAGCAAAAACTNAAAACGATATTTTTGCCTGTAATGTCCTTAAACAGTAACTTCATCATTTTTGATTGTTGGCTGCTCATTTAATAACTATTAATTGTACTGAAAATAAAAATGGTGGAATGAGCTCCCCATTGAAATCAGGACAGCAGAAAGCTTACACATCTTCCGGCGCAGACTGAAAACTCATCTCTTTAGACTCCACCTCGAGCGATAGAATTACTAACAAAGCACTTATATACTAATAAAGGACTGGCTTATCTAAAGCCAGTTGAGTAACACTTGAAATGTTTGGCTCTATGAAACCTGATGTACTTACTGTATGATTCTGTTTTCTTCAAGGTTGTATCTTCCTGGTCGAATGCACTTATTGTAAGTCGCTTCGGATAAAAGCGTCAGCTAGATGCAATGTAATGTAATGTAATAGATAGATGGATAGATAGATAGAAAGAGAGAGAGATAGAGAGATAGATAGATAGATAGATAGATAGATGGATATATAGATAGAAAGATAGAGAGATAGATAGATAGATAGATAGATGGATAAATAGATAGATAAATAGATAGATAGATAGATAGATAGATAGATAGATAGATAGATAGATAGATAGATAGATAGATAGATAGATAGATAGATAGGTAGGTAGGTAGGTAGGTAGGTAGGTAGGTAGGTAGGTAGTATTCCTTCAAAGTGCCTAAAAGCAAAATCACACTATGTATGATGAAATCACAAGATACATTGTGTATGATTGTATTAAAATGCACTTTCTTTCCTCCATGAAAGGTTGGAACAGACTGCTTTAGTGGATTAATGGTAGCAGCTGTGGAGAATATAATATAATGTAATATAGCATGGATGGCAACACAGGGCTTGATTAGGCATTGAAGATGTAAAATCGTCAAAGGCAAAAAATCTAAAGACCAAGATTGATGGAATGACCGATGCAGCCCACCAGTGTGGTTCCTTTGTTTGTCTTGACGGCTGTGGAGCCAAATGATGAAAAGACTTAAATTAAAGGCTCATGATGAAAGACTTCTTGGGCCATCAAAGGCAAAAAAAAGAACGATTGTGACAACATGACTCCTGATTTATTGATTTCCCAGCTACATTTTTTCATCCAGGGTGCTTCGAACGAGCAAAGCAATCTCTGAGTTTGTTGGCTGTTGTTATATTCCCCTGGCAAATGGACACTCGTGCACACACACACAAACACACTGGAGTACAACCCCATGCACAAACACAAGGAGCTACCAGTGGGGCGGAGTTTAATCCTCAAATACACTGCCATAAATCAAACCCCACTCCCTCATGCCCCAGCTCGTCTCTCTCAATGAAAAGCTCAAGCCAGTGGCACATTAATAGCAATTTACAGGGCCAGCCACGCGAGGAGAGGAGCATCAATACAGCATCCTTTATTTTGTAATTCCTTATTACTTTTGCCCACTACACAGGCACTGAATTGGCAAAGAGTAGAAGATGTGTCCTACTGCATCACTGGTCGTTTGTGTTCACACTACCTTAAATAACCCTGTATTTCATCAAGACTTATCTTAATAAATGTAGTGATACAGCCCACCAGAGACATGGCGTGTTTAAAAGCCATACAAAAGAATGCATTTAGCATTAAGGAATAAAATCACGCTTTATTATGTCTGTAAATGGTTTGAAGTAATGGATACTTTGCTGAAATAGTTGGGGTAATGTATAGCAAGTTGGACATTTTAGCTAACAGCAATGATGAACAGGTTGGAAATAGTTGGCTAAAAACAAGGAATAACAGTTTGGACGTGTCATGGCTTAAAGCTATGACTGGTTAAGCTAGCCAAAAGTAATAGTATATTAAGTATACAAGGGTTAAGTTATGGATGACAGTTGAATAACTACTAAAAAATGGTATAAGCAGTGAAAATAGTTAGCTTGAAGTAATGACCAATGTTTGTGTGTTGGTTATGAAAGAATTTTGTAAAACTAACCACTTTTGTCTAATTAATAGTGTTAAATATCATCCACTTAACAATCATTTCATTCATTTCATCATGAAGTATTTTGAGTGATGAAGATGAGGTTGTACATGCTACATCATTAGTGTCACCATCAACGGTTGGTTACCACTGACCAACGGTGTTATGACATTATACAAACAAAACAAACTGAAATGGAAACAGTGTCCTTACCACTTTCACACATTCACCCAAAACACACTCAACATGAACTGTTATTATGAGACTCATTCTTGTGAGTTATGCGGTGAAGGATCGCGACACACACTTACCTCAGATCATTCAGTAATGATGATAGAAGGGAGCAGTGTGTTCAAGATCACAACTCTGGGGTGACAACGAGCATACAGCCTAAAGATACAATCTCGTGCTACTGCAGATATGTAAGTCATAAAACCCTACTATAATAAAACATAATATATTTTATATTAGACCACAGCAATCAGTCTTAGTAACATACTTGTTGGCACTGATCAGATATTTAATCCATCACATTATCCAATCTGTTTTCTTCTATACATATTTAAGACTCATGCATACTGTATGCTTTGCTGTTTTTAGGTTGAATGGCTAAAAAACGAAGAAACTCTCAACTCTGCTGGTGCCATCGATACAAGAGGCGACCATAATCTCATCATATCTGAAGCCCGTCTCTCTGATTCTGGAAACTACACCTGCGTAGCCAGCAACATCGTGGCCAAGAGACGCAGTGCAACAGCCACTGTTGTAGTCTATGGTAAGATGTCAATGTAAAGGTCACCTATTATGCAAAATCCACTTTTTCATGTCTCCCCTCTGTGGAAAGAGACTCTGAAAGTTTCAGGAAAAAAGATTATTTTGTCCTGATCCATTTCTATAAAAACCTGTCTGAAAATGAGCTGATCAGATTTTGGCCACTTTATGATGTCATAACGATGTTTTGGCTTGTGTAACCATTAGCCAATCAGCAACCAAGGTAACCCCCCACCCCTTATCACCTGAACCTCCTCCTAGAGCACCATTGTGTTATTTTGAACCAAATCTCTCTCAGAAGGGCGTGGGGAGGGGCTCCTTATTTTCATCTAAAGCCACAGACAGAGAATCAGCACTTTGGAAACAGGGCTGAAACAGAGGGGATTATGGGATACTAGAATGCATTACCTGTTGGGTATTTCAAAGCCAAACACTTCAGAGACATGTTTTGTAATTAGCTGAGACCTATAATATATTGATGAAAAACAGTATATTAAGGGACCTTTACATTTTGTAAAGATGTGTGTAGGGTTATATTCAGTCTGTGGCATAATAGAAAGAATCTTTAGATGTGCATTACAGCTGATCAACACAATGTCAAACAGCCTTCTTGTCTGCATCAAAATATCAACTTTCCCTGCAGAAAGAGGCTGTCAAACTGGCACCTCGAGCATATTCACCAAAGTCATTAATATAAAAAGCTCTGCTCAGCTACAGCGTGTGGTCTTTTTTCACACGAGAGTCTAATGAGCAGGTAATGGACAAGTGATCCCTCATGTGTAAAAACAAGGAGACAAAGGCGCAATATTTACAAGAACTCAATTATTAATGGTGGAGAGGCAGTGACGTTGGCTGTCACAACTCCCTGTCTTTTATCTGCCAGAGCTGAACACCTTGCTCGCTTTGTACAGCTGCAGGCCAGCAAACTGCTCCAGCATTTTATAGGCCTTTAGAGAGCTCTGCAGAGACAAAGGAGAATAAGTGAAATTATAATGTCATACTAGCACCACCTCGTTGCACACCAGAGGAATACCTTGTTAAGACTGTTTCGGAGAGCATTTTTACTGACCTTTCACTGCGTTATTTTTATTTTTACTGGAAGGACATTTAGCTGCTGTAGGAAATCATCTAATTCTTTCTGACACGCCATTGTTGAGGCCCATCCATCATTCGTTTCCTTAATGCTAATGAAGTCTAGACGGGCTTACTACTCCCAATAGTCTCTGACAGATGTACAATCGCAGAATACCAGCATTTCCTATGACATACAGCAAATGAGCTTATCAGTCAATCATCCCTCATTATTTCAGGCAACAAATCAAAAGAAGTGCACAGTAGGGAAGAATCCATTGATCATATTTGATGAGAGACCTTCGTTTTTTTCTTTCCCATAAGAAATGATTTGGCTCTCTTGAGTGAACCACTGAGATGCAGTCCCTCTGGTGCAGAACATCTACCGTGAACCACAGGATGTAGGCCAGTTTTCAATCTTCGAAGTATGTGTTCATTCCTTTCCTTTCATCCTCTGGCACACAGTGAATGGAGGCTGGTCGTCGTGGACAGACTGGTCTCCCTGTAACGTGCGATGTGGACGCGGTGTGCAGAAACGTTCTCGCACGTGCACAAATCCAGCTCCTCTGAATGGGGGGGCCTTCTGTGAGGGCATGTCGGTACAGAAGAGCAGCTGCAACACTCTGTGTCCAGGTGAGGAAGGGACAGAGGCTTCTCTTGTGCATGCCTGTAGAAGCAAGCTGTGGTATTTGTTTTTCGCTTTTTCTCCTCAAAATCCCAGGTTTCACTCAATAATTATGTTTAAGTCATGACATTCTTCAAATGAACATGATCATTGATATTGAGGTGCTCCAAAGTATTGCAACATACCAAGTCTTGCCTCAGCAAGAAAGCACACGAGAAATGTTCCGAAGATATTGCACTTCTTGGTAATCTTCTGAACATTTCTCGTGTGCTTTCATGCTGAGGGTGAGATTATAAGATTAAAACAACTCCTATATCTGCCTGTTTAATAGGAAACTATAGCCAGCAGGCAGATAGCTTAGTTTAGCATACAGTAGGAAGATGGGGGGAGCCTGGCTCTGTCTGAAGTTAACACATTTCACCTCCCATCAATGAGGCTCTCAAGTGGAATGCAATATAACTTGTTGTATACATTAAGTAGTTAATTTTATGTCAATTGAATATACATGCATATTTTTTGTGTACATAGTGCATTAAATATATGATTTCATTTTTTATAATTCATCCTTCAGTAGTGCTATTTTTTATACGTATTGCCAATTCAATTTTTTTTATTCAATATTTGACTTTTTGAAATATATTTTGTTTGTGTAGTGCGAAGGGTGTTACAACTACAAATTGTCAAATTCCAAAATGTGAACCCTTATCCTGACAAAGCAATAGTATGGCACAGCTCCCCATAAAGTTTAAAATTGTTTATTTAAATGCTCTTTGTACAGATTTATCAAACAAGATATTACATGTTAATAACAAGTGAGCTTTATTTGTGCATTTAGGCAGATTATTTTACATTTGCTCAGGCTCACAGTTTCTCCTTGCTTCCAGTGTTTAAGCTAAGCTAAATCAACCATCTTGTCCCAGTTTCAAGCATAACTAATTCTTGACGAGAAGGCAAATAAGTGTGTTTCCTATAATGTTTGGCAGCCGACTCTCGACTGCCAGTGTCAGCATGCCCTTGAATGCATCCGTGTGGAAATGTTTCTCTCTCCTTGCTCATGCATAACCATGCGATAAAACAGTAAATGTGACAAAAAGGAATAGCAGCGAAATGGTCCTGCGATTGATTACTCAAGAGCGTTTAAAGCGTCTGTCAGTTGATTTTAATACCTGTAATTAACCGTGTCGGTCTTAAAGGTAGGAAATCAGTATAAAGGCTTGATGTATACTTCGCAGTTAGTAGTAGTCTCCTGTCCAGCAGTTACATTTACTGGGAATTCATTGCACGTCTCCACTGCTGATAGTGACAGTGGTTTGAATCTGAAATGTAGAGCAGTGGACCTTAAAACTGAGAAAATGTATGGGAAAAGAGAGTGAGGGGGGGGAATGCAAAGAGAGGATTTGGGAAAGAGAAATCAAACAGCAGAATCTCAGCAGTTTTAGTCATCAAGACGTCCCTGTAATCTGCTCGGCCCGTGTTTTCCTAGTCAAGCCCACATTTATGATTTCTACCACAACACCAGTATAATTGGAAATCAGGTCTAAGAGAAAAAAGTTATCAGCGAAAGGCAGTGCACTCCAAACATTATCTAATCTTGACAACTGCCTCCCTCTGAAGGATTCTCTGTGAGTTTGAAAATAAACAGGGCGCATTTGCGTTTAGATTAGCAAGAAGAAGGGAACCTTTAAAGCATCTGGAGGTGGAAAGGAGGCTTGATGGAGTGTAGCATAAGCATGGTGTGTTTGTGCTCCAGAGCAACACACCACCTGAGGAGCAAAATGTTTTTTTTGTGAAGTTAGTAGTGCAGCTGTTGCCTCGAAAGCGTTTTGCTATAATTCACAGGGATCTATTAAATGATTCAATTTAGGGCAATTGTTCAAATCTACGTGAGCATCTTTGACATTTTTCTCAGTTGGTGTTCCATAAAAATCGTATCTTTTCACCCTTTGGCGACCAACGTTTTTTTATTAGGAGGCTGACATTTGGCATGAAGGGTGTGTGTGTGTGTGTGTGTGTGTGTGTGTGTGTGTGTGTGTGTGTGTGTGTGTGTGTGTGTGTGTGTGTGTGTGTGTGTGCGCGCGCGTGCGTGCATAACATCTCGATAGAGTAAATAACAGGTTATGGGTCACGATAAGGTCATTCCTTAAACCATCTCGGCTGCTCCCCTTTGTAAAACAAACAACAACAAAAAACAAGTGAGACTAATACAGAAAATACATCTAAAACAGGGTTAAAATAATAATAATGAATGTGTTTATTTTTGTTATGCACTGACTACATCATGATATAAGACCATGTACAGGCCCCACCCTCTCGTTATTATTTTGTTTTTGCCTCGTCCTTGCATCCCTATCTATCCTATTGTTGGTCTTTGAACATATACAGTACAATCAAATCTAAGTGATTAAAACAATGTTATGTGTATCTGCCCCCCCCAGTGGACGGCAGCTGGACTGAGTGGAGTGACTGGTCTGTGTGCAGCTCGGAGTGTGAGAGGCAGCGCAGCCGAGAGTGCACGGCCCCGGAGCCCAAACATGGAGGCCGGCTGTGTGACGGGGGGGCGCTCGCTACAGACAACTGCACCGGGGGCCTGTGCACACAGAGTGGGTCCCATCACCATATCCCCCCCCCGGTCAACACTGAGAAAAATATAGTTTTGCCTCATTACTGTCACTCCCATTGTGTTCAGGGGCTGTGTCATTATAGATTTACCGTTCATAGTTTTTGGCAGTGTGGGCTAGATCATGATCGTCATTATAATCATGCTCATTACCAGAATCCTCATCCATCTTCATTATTCATCCTCTCCACATACATAACCACAGTGTGCACAGGCATGGTTGCATACACAAGTAGTAATTAAATCAACTGAGACTTGTAGTATTCAAAAGGTCAAAGAGAAACGCTCAATTCTCATGTTTCTCTGTCTTTGCAGATCGAAAGTTGCTACACGATGCTAAGCCACAGGGTGAGTGTCCTCTCATCTTCCATTACTATTATTTAATTTTACAGAAATCACTGCCTATAACCATGGCCTGGCAGAACACTTGAGCAATCATTGAGTTTGTACAACGACAAGACAATACTTGAAATCGATTGGCTCCAGGGTTGTTTTCATACGGCCTGACTGCTCATATTTAGCATCATCACAGCCTTTATATATGACTTATACTTGGTCTGCTTACTTAAGCTGTTGCTAGGCTACACAGCCTCGTATCTGCCGGAGTCGGATAGTAACATTGAGTCTTTGACGAGCACAGCGTTTTTATTGGAGACCCTGAAACGGCAAAGCTTTTGTCAACATGGTGAAGTGGCAGTAGGGAAGAGAAAGCAAGCAAAACTATAATTTGAACAGAATTATAGTTTTAGAATCATGATGGCAGGGCTTTAACGATCACAGTGAATGGCCCCTTCCTATTCAAATGATCCTCACTGCAAAAATCAGTACACAAATATCAGCACTCGTAGCAAAACACAGTAACAGTGGAGTAACGGAGGCAAAGTTAGGAGTCCACCTCCATAGTTTTTTTGACAGGATGCAATTACAGTTGTGTCATCAGAAGATAATTGAATAAAGCCTCCCACATGTTGTTGTGAAAGAACATGATGAAAAATAAACAAAGAATGAATGAAATGTAATGTTGATATACAAATGGAAAAACTCATTATTTCCTTTTCGTCCCTACTTTCCTAAATCCTGGGCTTATATTCTATTTTTTCCATTCTGTTAATTGCCTCCGGGGGGTTTGGATGGAAATGAAAAGCCCCTCCTGACGACACCCCCTTGCTGAGGTGTACTCTCCCCTCAGTCGCCTGGCCTCCAGCGCATTTTACTTTGCCTCATGGATAATTGCACTCAGCTGCAAAACGTAATGGCCATATTTCAGCTGTAATATCATTTGCGCAATCATTTTTGTGAATCGTACCTCGAGACGGGTCAGATAGCAATTACAAATGAGGCACACTTCATGGACCTATCATCAACCACAAACTAGAACCACATGCTGTCATGAATTAGGAAACAATATTTTAGATTTGAAGTCTTGATATAAGAGAGACAGATCCCTCTGACAGGTGTGGTTTTGAAAACTAACACTCTGCATGACTCATTCTCCTGCACTGAAAATAAAGGTGAGGGTTATATCAGATGCAGGTATTCTGATGGACAGGTATAACACATAGTTTTCAGTAATCAACATATATGTTATAAGGAATACTTTGCCTTTTAAAGCATTTTATTTTCAGGCTTGTCATAGAGTAGACTCTCCTTGCTTTAGATTGTGTTTTTTAGGTATTGTTTTCTCCACGCTTGGCACACATGTTCACTCCATTTACAATAACATACTGTGTGTTGGTAGTTGGTACATGTCACTTGTTACTTAGATTCAGCGGTCATTCAAATATAAAAAGAGAAAACATTTTCTCTTTTAATAAACATTGTACAGTGTGTTTATTTTATGGATGCTATTCAATTTCATCAACTGAATCACCTGTTTCCAATGTTATTATTACCTAAGTTTCACCTCTGTAACAATATAATGTTAACTTGAAATACCCATATTTTTCTTCACATCAAGAAAAGCGTTTCAAGCCAAGGGTCCAGTAGTTTGTGTTTTAATTGTTTTATGCATTTTTTCCGTCCAGGGTAATAGGCTGTTTATGTGTGTATTACCACTGCATATTTCCCACCTTCTAAGGCACAAGCACACGTCCTCCTTCCTTGTCCTTTAACACAGTTATGTATTTCTGTTTGTCAGAAACATGGAAAAAAAAATGCATCCAGGCTGCCAAAACTTCCCAAGCCCCCAATTAACCCGCTACTGTAGCTGTTAATGCCGCTTTGCGTATTTTGTCAATTTCTCCTCATTTGAGCTTCAGGCTACTTAGAGGATTTCTCAGCATGTCCTGTTTCAATGCTGATCTCATTATCTTTCAAGAACAAGCTAGCATCCCCTTTATTTCCCACTCGTTCTTTTTCTTTGTGGAGTTGGACGCTGCAGCACTGGTGGGACCAGATAGAGCATAATCATTGCCGATGAGCTAATTTAATGAATTGGTTTTGTCACATTATCCCAGTGGAACGCAGAGTGCCTCCAACACCAGAGCAAGGCGGTATTTGAAATGACAGTCAGGTGCTGGGTTGATTATAATCGCCTTCCTTCCGAGGTTCCTCATTAGTAGCTTTAACACTCCACGATGGAACAATGAAGCTGTGCATCAGGAGGCAGGGCAGACGAGGAATAGAAAACAAAAAAGGCACTAAAGTAGTTTGAAACGAAGGTAAACTTGCCTCCTAAAACAGTATTCATATCTTAAATTAAGTGGACGTTCCTTAGCAACACAGATTTTCAGTTTATTCTGGGAAATAACGTCAACCCGCTTCCTAATTAAGCAGAGTGAAAAGTTGCTCAAAAATGTGACTCTCACTCTTCCTTCCCCAGATGTGGAGAGCAGCAGCGACGTGGCCCTGTACTCCGGCCTGGCTGCAGGGGTGGTGACGGTGGTGCTGCTGATCATCGCTGTCACTCTGTACCGGAGGAGCCAGAGTGAGTACGGGGTGGATGTCATCGACTCCTCCGCCCTCACCGGGGGCTTCCAGTCCTTCAGCTTCAAGACCTCTCGTCAAGGTGAGCCATGACTATGTGTCTTACAAATCCCATTACACACCAAATAAATACAAACAAATCCCAGAATGGTGCAAAGAAAGGCTAAATCCCACTGTGAACATAGGCTTTAACCACATACCGTACCTAAGCAGTAACATCAACAAATGTATAAAAGTGGTTGAAATATCAGAGGGCAGATGGAAAATAATGTTTTATAATTCTTCCTATAATCATTTCCCTTTAACAACCTGAGTTTAGGACATAATTGTATGAAGACGTCTTAAATATCACACTATATATATTGGGAATATGCAAATACTAATGTGGCGTGTAGAAAAGTAAAGGACGTTTCCGGGTAATTTGCTTGTGTGAAGATACATGTCGGATGATTGAATCATTTATAAAATGATGCACGGCGTTTGCCGGTGTTTACATAATTACACTAAGCACACCCCATAAATTAGAGAATAAAGTTGAAATATGCGATTATGAACTGTATGTCTGCATATTCACACCTACCCTTCATGTGCTGTATGATAGATAAATGCTTTTAATTAACAATAAGAGAAAGGAACCCATACAGCATGTAGCCCCCAAAGTTATTGGTGATCATTTTAATTAATCTATCGCAGTCCATATTTAATGTTTAATAATTATTTAACTTTTAAGAATGTTCATTAATATAATAATACTAATAATAATCCATACATCTAGAAGCTCTGTAATATACAGGCATGTGCAATATAACCTTGTGCAATTCACGTTTTATTTTCCATCCATCCATCCATCCATCTTCTCCCGCTTATCCGTGGTCGGGTCGCGGAGGTAGCAGTTCCAGCAGAGAGCCCCAAACTTTCTTTCCCATGCCACATCAACCAGCTTCTGACTGGGGGGATCCCAAGGCGCTCCCAGGCCAGCGGAAGAGATATAATCCTCCATCTGGTTCTAGGTCACCCCTTGGTCCTCTTCCCAGCTGGACGTGCCTGGAACACCTCCCTAGGGAGGCGCCCAGGTGCATCCTAACTAGGTACTAATAATAATCCATACATCTAGAAGCTCTGTAATATACAGGCATGTGCAATATAACCTTGTGCAATTCACGTTTTATTTTCCTTTCAATTTATTTACAATCTGTAAACAGTATGAGCTATCTCTATATGGTCACCACCTCTGGTCTCTTCCCAGCTGGAGTAGCCTGGAACACCTCCCTAGGGACGGCGCCCAGGTGGCATCCTAACTAGGTGCTCCGAACCCCCTCAACTGGCTCATTTCGACGGAAGGAGGAGCGGCTCAACTCCGAGTCCCCCCTGTGACGAACTTCTCAACCTTACTCCTAAGGGAGACACCAGCCACCCTGCGGAGAAAACCCATCTCGGCCGCTTGTACCCGCGATCTCGTTCTTTCGGTCATGACCCATCCTTCATGACCATAGGTGAGGGTAGGAACGAAAATGGCGCGGTAGACAGAGAGCTTTGCCTTCTGGCTCAGCTCCCTTTTCGTCACAACGGTGCGGTAAAGAGACTGCAGTACCGCTCCCGCTGCTCCGATTCTCCGACCCATCTCACGCTCCATTTTTCCGTCACTCGAGAACAAGACCCCGAGATACTTGAACTCCTTCACTTGGGGTTTTATTTTCCTTTCAATTTATTTACAATCTGTAAACAGTATGAGCTATCTCTATATGGTCACTTTGAAAATATATATGTACCATGTTTTACTTATGTGCTACGTGTTTGTTTTTTTACTTATTGTGTTTTTTCTCATGAATAACTACGTGGTATCGTACATTTCCAAGTAGCGGGACAAATAAAGAAATTCTGATTCTGAAAATAAATAAACAAAAAATACATGAAATGGGTTTATGTGAAACGTTTGAAGAGCCTCTTCCTAAAGATACAGTACAAGAAGTGTTCTTTGTCCTTGACGTTGCAATAAGAGGTTTTTAAAGACCAGTTCAAATACAGTACGACTAGAAATGGGCACTCAGTGGAGTTCAGAGCTGCTGTAATGTTTGATAGAATGACTACAGACCACAATATATTCTCAAATAACCTAAAAAGACAGATAAAGATTCTTCACCCAATGAAATGGCATTTGGATTGATTTTCCATGAAGATACAGCATTACAGTTTGTCTCCAGGCTGTAATGTATCAAGTGATCGTGCAGAAGAGTATGGGGATTTGGTTGATTTACTTTTCATAAAGTAACAAAATGAAAAATAGACTTTTGACATCAACTGCACTCGTACTACTTTTAATAAGATTGATGATTCATAAGGCCCTGAACATCTGTGCAAGATCAATTCAAGTCTGCAGTTTGCCTGGTACAGTGAGATGGCATTATAATATAAATGAAGTGTCATTCTCCTCCAAACATAAGAACAAAGCAAAAATGAAGAAGGGCGACCAAACATGGGTCTCATTTTTCAGCTTGTCTCATATAAAGTAAACCAAATAATACAACACACACACACAAAGTGAGATGAAAACAAGATACAGAACACTGTAAGTGTACTCACGCCTTAATGTCAAGCGAGCCGACAGTTTTGTATATTCTTATGTAATAATGTTTATTGAAATGAATTATGCATACTTTGCTTTGTACTATGATATAACTACATCAATTATTTAAATGCTGTATGGGCCAAAATTACTGGATTTAATTTTTCTGTTTGTTCACTTGAGCTCTCTCGACATTCTTGCTGTAGTGCACTAAACATCCAATAACATCCATTATAAAGCCTCCACAATACATCTATTGCTTTTTATGAAAATATCAGCAAACCCCAAAAAATACATTTACTGAAAACTCAAAAGCCAATGTCATTCTTTTGACAATTTTAAAATACCTTTTATGACTACCTACGACTTCTTTGGTACCATATTTTAAGCCAAATATTAAGAAATAGGTGTTTATTCACTGTAATGTGTCAGTTTGTGACATTCTTGGCTGTTTTTTATATTGTCCTAACTTAAACTTAAATGAATTATTCATGTTTCAAGATTAAAACGCCTTTGTTTGTGTTTTAAAATGTCATTCACTCGGATCCTGAATGGAGCATTTATGGCTCTTTGTTTCCAGGCACAGAGCTCAGGAGCGTGGTGTGTTTTGACCACAGATTGAGGCATATTTTTACAAGGCTGGCATTACGGGGCGCCACAGCAACAGCTCTCAGCGGGGCATAATAAAGTTCGTTTTGATAACACAGCAGGAGCCAGGGAAAGCTTTAATCTTGGTCCCTGTTCTCCTTTCTTAAACAGCCTCCATACATCCCAGCCTGCCCCCTCCCCCTTTACACTTTGCAGCCTGCTCTACACTGCTACAGTACTTATATATTAATCGTTGCAATTATTTTACGCCATCATGTCCTTAATCATAAGTCACTATGACAACGGCTCACCCAATTCCCAACAAAATAAATCAGCAAACACCATCTCAATGCTAATTAGGAGAAACCATGCTGTTTTCATAACCGCGTCATGTACTGCTCGCTGAAACAGCTGTCAACGAATCATTCATCACAAATAATTTCACTTTACAATTAACAGATTAATCTCATCTGTAACAGCCTTTCTATGTTCCTCTGTGTTTCTTAATTGATCCAAAAGGAAATGTATAAAACATACATACAGAGGTTTAAGAAGTAAGTTTAAGAGTTTCTCTCCCACAATCCCACACCCATAATTAATAATGCATTAACGTCTTTTAAAGGAGGGGATTATTTAAAATACTTGAATGGAGTAAATGCAAAAATTGCCTCCGAAATGTTGTAAAGCATAAAGTAACTTAACGTAAAAATACTCAAGTGAATTATAAGTACCTCAAAATGTTACTTAAGTACAGTACTTGATTAAATGTACTTTCCACCACTGCACACACATGGTTGCCTCAGCAACGCCTTTTTATTAGAAAAAATAATGTAGATATATAAATCTACAAATTGATTCAGTATCACTATGGCAGATTGTCACAGTATTTTTGAACATCCGATTTAAGTATATTACTGCACCGCAGTCGCTGGCCCTTTAATTGGGACATTGTACGGTAAGGAGTTCCTGTTCCCATGGGGATTTAATTATGGTAATACTTGAAGGATGTTAAAACATAATTGTCTTGACACCTTATAGGTTTAATTGTTGTTGATGGAGGCCGTGTAAAGTGTCACTCTCTGCAAATGTGATTGTTGCTTAAAGATGTCTTATTGTTGACAGTAATCTGCATTTTCTCTCTTTGTGTGTTTTTCAGCAAACCCTCTGCTAATGAACTCATCCATGCAACCAGATCTGACAGTGTCGCGCACCTACACCAGCCCTATGTGTTTCCAGGACTCCATCGACAAGGATCTGATGGCTGAGCGCTCACTTCTTGACCCATTGCCTAATCTCAAGGTCAAAGGTCAGCAAATAGATGTGCGTTCTGTGAACCCCTGACTGTGGTGTTCAAATACTTTTTGGAAAGGCAAGAAAATAAGTTTGCTGTTGCTGTTCGGAAGGATAATCCATCTTTCTTTGAACCTGCTTTGAGGCAATCTCTAAGAAAGCTGTCACAAAAGAAAAATGGTCATGGTCTTGAAGGGCATCACAAATTGACCATTGCTAAGCCACGTCCTTCTTAGTTACTATTGCTACGCCTGTCAAGCTTTCCGCTCTTGCGCCGCACATCTGCAGTTTACAGTGATACAGATGTACAGCTCTAAGTGTGTGGTAGCTTCTGAAAAAAATTGCTTCTTGATTTCAGACAAAAGCAGGCTTCAGACATCAGATTTCCTGGCAAAAATATAAACTGTTGCCGGCAGATTATTACTAGATATAGCTGAATAGCTGATTTCGGTAAAATGAGCTTCATTAGCTGGTTGAAAACACCACCTCCAGATGACTTTTAATGTCTTTAAGCACCTATGAAGATGAAGTTAAGTTGGCAAACGAAGCACTATCTCAAATTACAGTCTATAGTCTAGTAGCTAGTTAGCTATATACGCTAACAAAGCTATACACGCTAACAATTGTAGTTTACGTTATAGCATAAACACACTATTTAATTAATTTTTTACAATTCTTACATTCTGCTTTTGGTTTTGGGGGAGATTGGGGAGGTAATATTGTGCTCATTTTAAGGATTCATACTTTTACTTTTTTACTAGACCTTGTTTTATTGCTTCAATGTTTATAAAGCCCCTTATTCTCATAACAAATGTATGAATATATCAGATTTTATCCTAACACTAAAATGCTTGGTTTTTCGCACCTGTTTCTTTAAGCCCTCCTCCCTAAGAGAGAAGGTAGAAAACCTGAATGTTTATCAAATCTCATGTGTTCTTACTTCGGCAGCCAACGAAAAAAAATGTTGCCCTATTTCACAGTTTGTTGGTGGGCACTTCCAAACCAAATATATACTGTATATATACAGTATAGCTCGAACAAAACATTTTTTTTTTCATGGTATTTCTTACTACAGATCCATGCATACTGCTTTAGCTTGAAGAGAAATCCAAAGCTTCAAAGACTTGCTGTCCCTAAATTCTGTTTGCTAAGCTATAACTCGACAACTGCTGTTTTAAGGGACGGTCAATTTGGAGAATGATTGGTTTTACAGACACCATACTGAATTCAACATCTAATGTAATCCTCTAATATCTTGCTGTTACATGTGTCTACACTGCGGTGGTAATTGAGAAATTGAGTTCACAGTGATGCCCTATACCTGTTTTTGCTCCGGGTCTAATGAACAGTGTTAGTTTAACTGCAAAAACGTTGTATTTGATTGTTTCTCTAGGGGTGGCAGAAAGGGCAGAGTACCATGTCATGTCCCACCCTCAGACATTTCCACGGGGCCTGGCTCCAGACTACAGAGGGGTTCCAGTTGGGACCACGCTGGGCAGAAGAGGCAAAAATCTGTTCACTCCACAAGTCTCTCTGACTCCCAGCAGGCCTCTTCACAAAGCAACCGCAGTGTTTGGTTATGCTGGAGGCAGGCTGGTGGTGCCCAACACAGGTGAGCCCACTGTAAGAGACTTCATTCCATATAATCCAATGTGTAAACTGACATTCCTTAAACCTAAAACTAAAGAAATCGCAGAGAAGCTGAAATCTATATCTGATCATTGTTTGAAACAGCAGCAAAGATGATACAGGGAACCTTGTAATGCGTTTTGAAGTTGTTTGACCTTGCCAGTGTTGGCATGCAGCGAATATTTGGAAATGTCTTTGATCGACCGACTAACATGAACATGAATATCTTATTTACTGAAGCGCTGAAGTTAGACAGCTTTGACATTTCTATCCAACCAGTGCATCCTGACAAACCCAATCAACATGTTTCATTATACGACAAAGTGTTCTAGCTTTAGTGAATGTGTAACTTTATAAAGAACACACTGTACACTATAAAGTAAATGTTCACTATGTAATGTAAACCTGTGATGCTCAGTGTACCACATTATTAAGGCAGCTTTTCCTCGTGGCCTACATTCATCATCCTGTCCCTCGAGGGCCTTTATCAACTGCAGTGTAGATTGGCAGTAATTGTTTATCGTACAGTAGTGTGTGTATCTGTGACACAGTGTGTGTGCTCGTGACAAAGACGCTCTTGGCAGCATTGATTCACGAGGCCTCCGGGACCCACTTCCTTTTCCTCGTGCCATCACCTTTAGTAAAGGGACATGACAGCAGGGCAGTGTGTGGCTGTCAGTGGTGTAAAGTAACTAAGTAGATTTACTCAGGCTCTGTACTTGAAAATAATTTTGAGATAGTACTTTCCTTGAGTATTTCAATGTTATGCTACTTTGTACTTCTAAGATAAGATAAGATAGTACTTTATTGATCCCAATTTGGGAAATTGTTTTAGTTTTTGTTACAGCAGCATAAAAGACTACAATTCAGAGGTACATGGTGTACTTTTACTCCACCACATGTATTTAATACCTTTAGTTACTTTACAGATGTGGATGAATGATGTGAAATATAATCAAGTGTTAAATCAGACTTTAGTTCCACCTGGAGTAAATCCACAAGCTACCCTGCAGTATACAAAGTCATTCAAACTAGCTGCACCTTTACCAGCTTTGAGAACACTTTCATGATCAATCATTATAAAACATATCATATCTATTATTCTGAAATGGCACTGCATAATGAAGGTTGGTAAGATGACATATGACTTCTGAATGTAACATACTTAGCTTGTACGTGTTTCACGTACGATACTACTTTAGTTCGAGACGCCGAATATTAGGACTGCTTCGCTCGGTCTGACCTTGTGACCTGCTTCCTTCTGCACCACCCAACCCTTTTTTTGTATTTTTGACCCATTTCTTTTGTCTTTTACATGTCACAGTTTTGAACAACTCTTAGTTGTCTCTCAAGCCTGCGGTAACGGTAGGTAGTAAAGTTGACCGAGTGGTCCGGGTCTTTAAGTCTAGTTGACTTTCCTGTTGGACTCTTTTTTTCCTTATCAAGATGTACAACTGAAGAGACTTTTAAATACGGACATTTAACTTGTGTCTTTAAAGTTAGTCAAGTAAAACCTCCTTAGCTGTTGTCGTAGTGTGTCAATCACCGAATTGTGTAGTTGTCCAAGGTTAGCATACGGTGTTAGAGACTGAGAGAGTCGGTATAACTTTCCCTGAGCGAACCCGGGTATAGTTTGGACATATGTCCCTTTACTGACGTTGTGAGCCAGAGTTTTCTAACTGTGTGGCGAGGTACAGAATCACTGCCCGAGGTCAGCTGTCATAGCTTTATCCCGTTTGACAAAGGAGGTAGTCGTCACATGGGAATATGGGACCCCCGAGTTTCGTTTAGTGAACCTTAATGAGTCTCTCTCGGTTGCCATTCCCCACGGGGACTACCTTCAACCACTCGACACTTTGCCATACCATCTGTCTCTTTTGGTACAGTACCCCCCTTTCTGAATGTTTTAGGCTTCCTGAACATACTTAAAGACTAGTTGTCTCTTCAGCTCTTGTAGGTTTAGTTTACCTAACTACTTCACTGTAATACAGAAGTTACTTTACAACGGTGGTAGTCAAGGTTTCAGGAGCCCGAAGAAATTTGTGGTGGTCTATGAAAGAAAAACAGGCCCCTCTTCTAAAATTATGTCCCTAGGCTCCGACGAAAGACGTATGGGGTCTCTACAAACTTACGAAGTTTGGTTGATTCTACTCCTACCTGCTAGAAGCTTACGTTTAAGACTAGTGGACGTCGGTCTGTCGTAGGTCTTCTGGATACCGAATCTCAGGGTCATGACTACACCCTCTTCTTACTTTCAGTGACACCCTTTCAAACAGTATCAATCGATACTGTTGTTTTGATAAACAACCAGTCTAGTGGTTCGATGAAGAACTTTGTAACTTTAGTTGACGTACAAGTCGTACCTTTCCTTCATAAGTTCACCGGATTTTCGGTCTGACGTAAAAGATGGTGTCTCTTGTTAGCGGCCACAGTTAGAGGCTCGGTCTCGGGTTGGTCGCACGACGTGTCGAGTGCGTAATACTTGACCAATGATAAGTTACTCTAGACTTTTCTTACATCTTTGTACTACGCTCAGGGTTCGTGGTTTTAGAATGTCATACTCCGATCACCAGTAACAAAGTGGTGAACTTCAGTTTGATGGTCTACACTGACTTAAAATGAATTTGTTACTTACACATATAGAAATGACTTACAAAAAGTATTATACTCCAAAATAGTTAACAAGTTACTTAAACTGACTTTTTACTTTAATCAATAGAGATTGACTTACATGTACTTACTTGTATTACTCAAAATACCTACTTAACAACTACTAACAAAATATACAAAGTTCGTAAGGTAACAATAAGTGTAAAGGCAAATAACAGGTACAATACTACACTGTACTACAATACCTACCGATAATCGTTAAGTAGAAAAAAAATATACGTGACAAACCAAGACTACAAGTCTTATATTGGAATCTCCCCTCATCTCTACTTTATTATTTCTAAACATTTTTGGTTAACCGTATAAAAGACTTGCCACAGGTAACCACACTTCTTACAGCGACACACGCTGTTTTTCTTTATTTTTCTTTATCCGTAAAACCAGAAGTTATACGGACTCTCTGTCCCAACTTATCTTTATCTCATTACTTAGAAGTGATACCTATACATTTCTATAAAAAATCAAGTTAGTCCAAAATATGAATTAATATTACTTTTATTGGTTTTGAAAATAACTTTTCAGGGATACACATCAGTAAAATCATCCCGGTTATTGTACTAACATTAATTTACCTAATGATAACAACATCCATTTATAAATTTGTCAACTATTACCAACCGTATATAAAGAAGAGACAGACTGTTAGAGACTTTAATTTATAATAGTAATTGGTATACAGTGTGGTCCTCTGTAATAATCCTGAAGCCGTGTCTTTTTCAAGTATTATATTTTTATTAATTCCTTTATCTTAACCAAGAGTGTTCAAAACTCAATTAAGTGTCATAATTCATTATGGTCACCTATACATTAAACTCATGTAATTCTTTGTTATATATTAAAATATGAAAACGAAAGTCAGGTCTCAGTTGGAAGTGTTAATCGTAAAGTAACTCAATACCGTCTTTTTGCCAAAAACATTAAATTGGTCCCTGTAACTCGAGACTGGTGTCTAATACTAGCAAATAGAAACTTAGGTTGACCTATAAACACGGTTTAACTTCTTTAAGGGTGTTCCGCTAAGACACTAAAATTCGGAAGTCGGTTACGAATCCTTTTTGTGTCTCGTTGTTTAGTCTTACTACAACGAGTTGAGTAACCGGGATTTGAAACCGTACTCAGTGTAGGATTTTCGCTATAAAACCAGTGTTTGATACTACGACAGGAGTCGATGGGTGACAGGGAACGACGCGACAACCCTAGCGTGTGTCGTCTTGGTGGACCACTTCGGATCTCCGTGCTGAATTTTCGAGAAAGTTGTGGACTTTGCCGGTCTTCGGGTTAGCTAAGAATAAGAGACGTCTCCTCTCGTTTGCAGAATACATCCTACTGGCTCAAACTTACCTTTCTTTCCTAGGTTAAAGAGACCGACCTTGAGACGCCGACAGTCTTCTATCCCGACACTGACTGTCGAGTCAACCCCGAGCCCAGACGTCGAGGAGTCTGCCGTCGGTCTCTTCATTTGTCGTAGTCGAATAGTCTCCGTCCGTTCCGTCCGTCGGACCTCCCGTCAACGGTCCGATCTGACCCCTCTGAAACCCGTCCCCCCACATTGCTCGGGGGGGATTGACTCCGGCCAGGGGTTGGACTTCTCACCTGGAAAACTAGACATAGAAGAAGGAGTTTACTGGGAGCCACGTGAATTACACAGTGTCCACCCGACCACTTCTGCGGCAACTTTAAAGTGAACCGTGATTTACAGTGAGAATCTAAGAGGGACCTACATCTTTAACTTAAGTAAGACTCTTCGTGTCCCGACAATCGGCGCAACAATCCCACTATAAAGCGGATCGCCCAAAAGGTGTGTCTGTACCGACTGTGTAAACTAGGCGCAACGATATTTAAGGCCTTGTACAGTTTTACGCTGAGGACGAACAGTCTATGGCAAACTCCGAGGCAACGTTTGTTCAGTGTCCATAATGAGGGGAAAAGTTTACCGAGAAATAGATAGTACCGAAAGGAGGAGTTCATTATCGAAACACTCTTAGGACTGTAGCTCAATGTCTTTATCTGAACTCGACCGTCCTTTGTCAGTTAGTTGAAACATCCCGTATAGTTGCAAGTTGTCTTGCGTTTTTGTATTAGTTATAGTGGCTAGTAGCACTGAAATGTTTCAAAAGTGTCACGTGAGAGTGTGTCAGTGCTACCTTCCTCTATAACAGTACAATACAAATGATTGTCTACGTACCTCCCGTAGAGAGAGAGACTGTCTCAACGAAATTCCGTCGTTAGCTTAAGACAGACGCCGACGGTTACATAAATACTGGTTTAGTACAAGGGGGGCCGTCACGGACGTTCTACTCTTTTCCTGGGGACTACCACCCATATACAGACGTAGACATGCACACATACACGCTCATGTACCCTGGCACATAAGAGGTGAAACTCTCCTAGACACACTCGAGAACACACGTACAAGCCGGTTCTCTCCCTCTCTGCTACACCGCACTCTCTCCTTCTCTCTACACGACGCTGCCAACTTTCTAATTTTCTCCTCGTCACACATGACTCTCAGGAGTGGACCGACAGGAGGACCAACTACTAGTACATGTCAGAGGTCCATCACAGAAGACTCTACGGGGGGTACTCACGTCGCGTCGTCTGAATAGGGACGTCTCTTCGTTCACGTAACGTCCTTTCACCTAGTCGTGTGTCGGCTCGCCACCCTCTTATGATGATAATATATCTATATTGCTTCATGGTCTCACATCCTTATGAGACAATTGTTCATTTTCAGGGACGTTAGTTTTAACAGTGGGTTCATTTTCA